ATATATATATATATATATATAGAGAGAGAGAGAGAGAGAGAGAGAGAGAGAGAGAGAGAGAGATGTATGTGTGTGTATGTATATATATATATATATATATATATATATATATATATATATATATATATATACAAAAATTCGAGAGAACAGATTCTAAAAATGATAAAATAATGTATTCAAGTTCATGTCGTATCCCTGATAACCAGTGTGCAAGAAAATATGAATACATGTATATCATATTTACATGAAAGCAATCATGCCTCTGAGTACAAGTGATGGGAGTGACGATTCGCTTGACTATCTTAATTACACTTACACTAGGTCTACGGGAATTCACGCCAGACTTAATAAATCAATATCCGGGAAATGGGATAAATCTGAGGGTATATGATGTTAAATCCAAAGGAATGAAGCCTCGAATAGGTGTAATTGGGGATTCACGAGAGAGAGAGAGAGAGAGAGAGAGGAGTCACCCAACTTTCAACCTTACAAACAGTAATGCCGACCAGCTTGTTTCTACGACTCCAAAGACCGTTAATCAGCCTAGCCGTTAATTAGCTTGCGATATGACATGAGATGCTAATTAAGGCTTAGCATCTCATGTCATATCACAGGATATGACATGAAAAGCCTTATTCTTGATTTTCTTGCTTACTTTCTCGAACACTTGACGCTTTCATCATAATGATGATAATGATGATGATAATAATGGTAATAATAATAATGATAAAGATAATAGTAATAGTAATAATAATGATAATCTATGGTCCGTTTTTCGTCCTCTTCCAGAAAGGCGACCTTCAACATGGACTTCAGTGACTTCAGTGGATCCCAAGGAACGGTTAAATAAATAGACAGATAGATAAAGATATATATACATGTGTGAGTATGTCTGTTTGTGTATTTTTTCACATACACACACACACACACACACACATTCACACACACACATACACACACACACACACGCACGCACGCACACACACACACACACACAGTGAATTATGAACTAATCATATCTGAAAAGTGTCGATCGAGTAGTTCATAATGAATGTTGTTTCTTTATCTCTTTATTAAATTTATTATGGAAATGAACAAGAAGAACAAGACCTTTTAAAACCCAAATTCAACCTATAGATAAAGGAGGTGAAGTTCTCGATTTTATTTGTTTTGACTTTTTATCCTTAATTACCTATTCATGCATTTTCTGAAAAACAGCAATTTTTTTTTTCCTCAAAAATAAGAAATAAGGAGATAAAGAAATAAGAATAAGGAGACGTGAATAGAAAAAAAATGTATGTACTTATGTATGTATATGTATACACTTATCTGAACAATCACACATATATACTGTATGTCTATGTGAAAAAATATTGTATATAGATAGATAGATAGGTAGTTAGCTAAATAGATAGATAAATAGATAAAGTGATTGATAAAGATATATATGTAAGTACTTTATTGGTTGTTTGTGTGTCTGTTTTTCTTTAATTGTGTGTGCGTACATAGCTATATGTATCTGTATGTGCGTATGAATACACACACATACATATATATTGATATATATATATATATATATATATATATATATATATATATATATATATATATATATATATGTGTGTGTGTGTGTGTGTGTGTGTGTGTGTGTGTGTGTGTGTGTGTGTTCACACACACATGATACATACAGACACAACAAACACACACAATATATATATGCATATATATATATATATATATATATATATATATATATATATATATATATATATATGTGTGTGTGTGTGTGTGTGTGTGTGTGTGTGTGTGTGTGTGTGTGTGTGTGTGTGTGTCTGTGTGTGTACATACACACACACACACACATATATATATATATATATATATATATATATATATATATATATATATATACATATATATGTGTGTGTGTGTGTGTGTGTGTGTGTGTGTGTGTGTATGCGTGTGTGTGTGTATGTATATATATACATACACGCAAATGTCCATATATATAAATAAATATATATATTCATATACACTCACACACACACACACACATGCACACACACACACACGCACGCACACACACACACAAAATGTGTGTGTGTGTATTTTTTTTTTTTAACAGCAATTCATTCCACTGCAGGACATAGGCCTCTCTCAATTCACTATTGAGAGGTTATATGGCAGTGTCACCCTTGCCTGATTGGATGCCCTTCCTAATCAACCGCGGTTCGGCGTGTCATCACATGTGCCGCGACTGGGAATTGAACTCGGGACCACAAGGGTTGGAGTCCAGTGCTCTAACCACTGGACCATCGCGACAGGCTTATATATATATATATGTGTGTGTGTGTGTGTGTGTGTGTGTGTGTGTGTGTGTGTGTGTGTGTGTGTGTGTGTGTGTGTGTGTGTGTGTGTGTGTGTGTGTGTGTGTGTGTGTGTGTGTGTGTGTATGTTTATGTGTATGTGTATGTGTATGTGTATGTGTATGTGTGTGTGTGTGTGTGTGTGTCTGTGTGTGTGTTTGTGTGCACATTTCTGTATAAATGTATCTAATACTATTTTACCTTCTGCACACGAGCACTTTAACATCATGCATTAGCTAAATATTTTTTTTTTTTACTTCATCCACCTGTTCTAAATATATTCATGAAGTCACTCTTCATAAAGCCTATATTTTAGTCATGTTTCCTTTAGGATGGTTTTTGGTACAGAAAAGGGACATATGTAGTTGGACGTAGTTCAATTAATTGTCGATGTTTCTATGGCAGAATACCCACGTGATATGAATACCTATATTTTTAGCCAATCATTGCCCATATAGATTACAGTACTGGGATAAATGTAGGCATCGCGTAATTACTGTGCCGAATCATTTATATAACCATGATAATTACTATAATTATTTAAAAACAATCCTGACTGGCATCAATATTCCTGTTGATGTTAGTAATTATATCTACTAAGTATAGATTTTAGCGAGTTTTGTTACATGCAGATGGCGCCATGTGTGCTCAGCAGCAAGGAGTCTATCAGTTGGCCCTACTGACCGATCCTGATTTCCTCCTTCCTTGAATACTACTAATATTGACATTGTTATCATTCTTATTGATATTACGATTATTAAACTGTCATCAAAATATTGATAACATCAGAGACAATTAAATAATAGAAGTGAAACTTTCAAAAAATGAAAGAAACGGGTAAACAGATGAAATAGGCAAGACTAATAGCTGACTCTTTGGTGACTTAGCACTTGTAGAGCCATTTATATATAAAGACAATGAATAAACTTCTTATTGCAGTGGACATGACATTGTAGTCTTGTCACCCGCTAACATTGGAATAACATAATTACTGGTCGCCACGCCCGACGTTATCTCTCGCGACGTTGAACACCCTCGCCCGCGCGCTCCCCTGGTCCGGCAATATGTATCTTCCCGTCACAGAATTCTCCCACCTGCCGAATTCCATCCTTTTATTCTTATCTTTAGCGGATTTTATCCTTGATTTTCTTGTTTTTTGTTGTCGTTTTAGCTTGTCCGTTTTGGTACACTTTCTTCGGTTCTTGTTTAACTTCGGTTAGCTTACCTTTTTACTTTTTAAATGCAGTTCTTTGTCAATATGCCTACTTTTGATTATCTATTAGTTTCCTTGTTCTGAATAAATCATATGAATAAATTATATTGCATGATTTTTTCTTGAATTTAATATTGTTTTGTTTTTAAGTACATTTTCATTTTACTATTATCATTGCTTTCGTTTTGAATTCATTGTTAACTTAATTCTTAAAGGTGGTTTTAACTTTAGTTTTTATACTTCATTGTGTTGCCAACGACGTGTAAATACAATAAATAAACTTGTATTACATTGGGCATGGCATGTATCCTCGTCATACGTGGCAGTTGGGTTAAATTTGCAATGAGAGACAAATTTGGAACTCATGGTAATGGATCTGAAAGGTAGACATCATAAAAGTATTTATATTTCCAATTTGCTTATTTCATCTGCCGGTGGAAATATGTAGTATATTCACAGGCCTAATTGGTTTGCAAATTCATGTCATTATCCACATGCAACCATTTTCACCTGATTGCTCGAGATTTCGAATGCTCTCTTATTTTTTTCACACACGCTGTTATTTCGCAATGAAAATTTGGGTTACCTTGGTTTGTTTATTTTTTTCTCCTTGTTTCAAAATATATTTTTCACATCCTGAATAGCCCACAATTCGCATGATTTTGCCTTTCCTGTAGTCACTATGAAAATCAGTGAAGAAAGTTCCTTTTCCCCAATCTTGGTGTGAATTTTTAAAATAGTATTTGATATATCATCAAGAGTCTTTTCGTGCAACTTTTAACTTGTTTCCCTCTCTTACTCACCTCAGTTATTTCAGTTGCAAAAAGGTAATTTCGTAATGCATAATATGAAATTACTTTTCTGTAATTCATATACCAATTAAAAAAAAAAAAATCTACCTCTCGTTCCATTATGCATTGATCGGTGAGATGTAAAAATGAAAGCCTGATGTCGAATAAATAGATAAATAAATAAAATACTAGATCAGGTTGTTGATGAAATTTTCGATTCAAGATTTCTTGGCAGTTTCTTTGTAATATTTTTTTTACCCAACCATTAGTCAATTAATTATGTATGCATACGCTGGTTTCTATAACGCAAAGAATATGCAGCGCTGATTGCAGGAATTTAAATATTCTGTGAAACTACAGGATTCAGCACTGACTAATTCATAAGACAACTGCTAGCTTTGCTGCAATGTATGTAATGAGACACAGCTGTGGATCACCCATTATATATCACATGAGTTATGAATAAAAAAAATATGTGGTATATATATTTTTTTATGCATACATGAATTGCAATTAAGTCCAATGATGTTTCAATATATTTCCACGTCGACACGAATGTTGATCTGGAGACAAGTGCCTAAGCTCTTACCTCACTCCCCTTTGAGCTGAGTCTGTCTGCACTTCTGGTCG